CAGGAGCAGTCACGGAAAACGGCCAAAGGAGGACACCACAACAATCACCACTCACAACAGCAGCAAAACAGCCGAAAGGGTGCAGCCCACTCTGCCGTCTCTAAAACGAGTCACCAGGCGTCTACTACCAAAAAGTCGACCACTTCTAAAAAGCGCGGAGGTGGACAGGTGTCCTCGAAGGTGTCCACCGTAGACAACAGCAATCGGAGCACTGTTTCCAAGCCGCAGCAGCATCAGCAGCAGCGTCACCAGCAATCGGCGGCAGTGAAGAAGGTGGCCAGTCTGCAAGCGGCCTCCAGGCCAGTGTCCAAGCGATATCTGCACCCACAGCCAAAGACAAGCTTCGGCAATGGCAAAAACGCCATCGGCAGTTCAGAGTTTCAGTCGTACAAGTCGAGCACAAAGTCGGACAAGTCGACGGGCACTGCCTACTACGCCATCATCAAACAGAAGCTCAAGGTCGCTTCCGTCTCACAGTACAACTACCAGGGACCCGGCAAGAGGCGAAAGTGAGAACTTTGAAGCAGCCATTCAGAAGAGAAAAGCCCATTGAGCTACCGACAAATGCAATTTCAGAGTTCAAGGCATATCATTTGTTCTGCATCATTTTTAAAGTATTTATATAATTAAACCATTTTCTTTTTTCTTTTTTTCTAGCCACACACCTGTCGACAAACAAACGTCTGCTAATCATAGTTTCATTTGACGTGTTTACCTCCTCCTCTTCTTAATTAAAAGCTATTAAGATGATAGCTCTTCTATTGATTGCCAAACTGTACATTTAGTTTCTTCAATTTTAGTCAGCAAACTGAAGCAGGCAAGATCAGTTTTACTAGCAAAAGTCAAAAATAATTTGTAGTTTAAGAAAAAATGGCATACTATCCACTCAAAACGCCTCTTCTTGTCCTGTTCGTCTCCGTTTATCGGTAAGAAAGACCACGTTTTCTAACTTCATTGTCTAAATCAATAATCTTCTCGTGCGCACAGGTTCATCGGTGTTCGTATTTGGTACTTTGAGCCAAGTCACCTCCCGACAATGCTCAACCAGCTGTGGAACATGGCACTGATTGGCACCGTCACCTACGGCCTCTTCNAAAAAATGGCATACTATCCACTCAAAACGCCTCTTCTTGTCCTGTTCGTCTCCGTTTATCGGTAAGAAAGACCACGTTTTCTAACTTCATTGTCTAAATCAGTAATCTTCTCGTCCGCACAGGTTCATCGGTGTTCGTATTTGGTACTTTGAGCCAAGTCACCTCCCGACAATGCTCAATCAGCTGTGGAACATGGCACTGATTGGCACCGTCACCTACGGCCTCTTCGCACTGGATCCCTTTGAGTTCAGCCACATCGCCGACAACTGTCACCTGTACAAGCCTCTGTTTGCCTTCCTCTCCGACGTCTGCTACCTGTACGTCTACACCGGCATGTTCTTCTTCAGTCACCTCTACTTTCAGCTGTACAGCATCACCACACTGAGGCTAATGGACAGCCCGTGTTTTCAGCAGTTCTACCACTCTAAACGGTTGGCAGTGGCGATAATCCTGTTGATGGCCACTGTCAATCACGCCTTCTTCTTCTTCATCTCCCTTGACAGTAGCAGGAGAACGCACCTGCTCAATCTGCTCTCAGTCACCCAATCATTTTCTTCGTTTTTGAGCTTTTTTTGCGTCTACAATGGCTCCTTCTTTCACATTTACCTGTGTTCCGCCTACCACTACCACATCTACGCCTTTAATGGCATTCTAAAGAAGCTTGAAGTCGGACTGAAAAGTCGGGCACTGGAGGAGGTTTACGTGGTGGAGAAGATAGTTGAGTACGCCCTGTTGAGTGAGCAGCTGAATGAGCTCTACGCTGTGCCTGCAATCATCTATCTGATCTTTAATATCTTCAACGTTGTCCTGCCGGTTTGTATGATCTTCCTCTGTCAGGTGCACTACGGCCACCTTTTTCATGGCACCTGCACCTGGATGTACATTGTCTTTCTTGTCTACCTGAACAACCAAAACATAGCCACCATCAGGCGCATTCTCCTGCGCCTCAGCACAAAGCACAAAGAGAAGGCAAAAAGCAGTGAATTGTTGCTGGCCAAGTACCAGAAAGCATTTCCCGCCACTTCGCAGATTATTCGAAAGTTTCAGCAAAATGTGCAACAGCACAGAAGCGCCTTTCATCGGTACCAGCAGATGGACATTTACCTAGAGTACTATCAGATCAACATATTTAATGTTATTCAGGTCAATTACGGGTTTATTTTCAAAACGTTTTTGTTTATGCTAAACTACATAGTGCTCATAACGCAAACAAACTGAACTCAAAAGAAAAAGAGAAAAATTTTGTTAAATTTGCTTATTTTTCATCAACTTTTGAGATATAAAAAGAAGTTTAGAGTAGATGATCAAATACTTTATGAAGGCGGACAATGAAATCAGGCCAAAAGAACCGTACGTGAACCCAAAACGGTTTTTTGAGTTGATCACAGCGATATCATTGCTCACCTTGATCTGCGTGTACATGTCAGGCTGCTGTAGCGTAGTCAGGTGAAACCAGTTTCGCATCTGGTGGATGTGCATAGTGCAACGGGACAACATTAGGTGAATGCCAAACAAAAAGAGAAGTTCGTGAACGTTGAAAACGATGACGAAGAAACTGTTGGTCACCTGTTCATTAAACAGCCAAATGTTGATGATGATGTTCACCGGACAGTGGGCGAGGAAACAAGCCAGGTAAAGGTGGCCAAAGGCTCGATTAGTTTGCTGAAAGAAGGTAAGCGCATCAAAGTAGCTAGAGCGAAAGAAGGTGTACGATTTGGTAGTCAGTGTCCTACGTTGGCTGCTCAGCTGAGCCAGCAGTGTAAAACTCTGTTTTATCTTGATGAAGACCATGACTATAAGGGCAAAAGATGTAGAGAAGCATATGGACAGTTGGTGAGCGTAAGAGTAAAAGCAGAGCCAGTAGAAGGGACCGCGAGAAAAATGAAAAAGCAAAATGATAGTGGTTGAGAACATGCTGTGCCTGTCAGCGGTCAGCTGGTCCCAGTGCTTGTACAGTACTAACAGATAATGAGTGTGAGCATAGATGGCAAGTAAATTGACAATCAGAAGGAAGTTGTGAAAACAGTTTAGGTTTAGGAGAAAACACCGCCTTACGATGGTCAGAACGCTCATTTTACCCTTGTAAGTGGACTGCAGAAACCAGGATGTGTCCCCCTCAAGTAGCACCAACCTCAACTGTTTCATCAGCGGCAAATTAGGTCGAGCAAAGATGTAGTAGTGAAAGTACATTGTCATTAGAACTACTAAAGAGACTAGAAGGTTGTAAAGGTGTTTAGGCACGAGGATGAAAAAAACGTCAAAGTGAATGGCATGATCAAGTGCCGTCTTTGGTGGGTTAAAAGTGAGATAAAGAAGGTACAGTAGCTGCAGTGACAAGAGCCCGTTTATGAAATGAATTTTCCTAAGGAGTGGTTTGCCTTCCCAGCTGTGTACGGCTTCAGTTAAACGAAAGTACCAATTGATGTACTCCAAATCGGCTTTAGGATTTATTAGAAGCAACATCAACTGCTTCGTTTTAGGAGACATTTTGCACATTGGTCGTTTAAATCTTACTAGATAGTCGTCATCACAACCGGAATAATCGGTTTTCCTTTGCCACAAGGTCGAGTAACTGTTATGTTCTTTTATTATTTGTCTTACGCCTCGCTGGTAATCTAAGTATTTTTCTACTTCTTTGTAAAGTAGTAGCGGTATTAATTAATAATGAATGCATAGGGCAATCGATTTTTGTGGTTCATTATGAAACGGTTCTTGTACCAGTTGTCACGAGTAGATTGCTTTCTAAGTACCAAGTTTACAATTGCGTACAGAGTTTATTCACTTGTACGTACAAAAATTTGTTCAGGACATCAACAGTTGAATAAACGAGAGCTGACTTTTGGGAAATGCCTTGAACTGTGTTTTTCTACCTAAAAAAGTTGGTTTGTTTTCTATTAAACTGGTAATCAATCATATGATAGAAAAAGTGTTTGCAAACAAAAGTGATCAATGCAATGCAAATAGAAAAAAGCATTTTTTATTTTGGCAAATCACTCCAAATTAGGGAAATGACAAGGTAACTTTCAAGAACTTTTGCAGTAAGGTTTTTACATGGCCGAACAGTGAACACGGGGGTGGAGATGAAAAAATGGTGGTGATTTCAACCTTCTTCAGTGCGTTGTCCTTCCACCACCTGAAGGCCTGTTCCGGATCACAGATGCAGATTTATTACCACACAAAGGCAATGAGACGGCAAATTTGATAAGGTTAAGTAAATCTATTTGTTGTATATAAAGGCACTGAAACTCTGGCTATTTTATTTACAACTGCTCTCAGTTGAAATTTGAAAAATTAAACCACTACAAAATGAACACTCCGCCGAACAGTTATCTGAAGGCTCCAGGTACTAGTAGTGATTTTTTAATCTTTATTAATTTTTAAAAATTCATTCAATAGCTTACGCTCCAACGTCTGTTGGCTTTAGCGAACCAGTGGTCCACTTTACAAAATGCCATAACGATGGAAAACCTCTAAAGATTCAGCAACAAAAGCGCACCACATATCCAAACGGAAAGGTCCACTTATCAGCAAATCACATTAAAATGTTTTCATAAGCTTTCCCTGTATTATTTCAATAGTCATTTTGATTGAGATTTGTATACCATCAAAACATCAATAAACACTTTAAACTTGAATTTGAATTAAATTGCATAACTGTGGTGCAATCTACTGAAACTTACGTTTCAGTGCTGAGTGCAGGTGTGCTGGCATGAAATAGTACGGTGAGATGGCATGACGAGGTATTGTGATGAATTGACACAAATCGAAAGTGTTAGCTGTAATGCGGCCTTTTACTCCATTCAAGCTAGTTGTATAAATAAGTCAAGTGTGCAGCACCTTAATTCAGCACACAAGTGACTATCAGCAAATCAAATTAAATCAATTTTCAGCCTACCCTGCCTGAACATGAACAACTACAATGATCGGAGTGACAACCAGACTTTTGGACGAAGTGACAACAACACCTCTTCTAAGTATGGCTCCACTAACAGTGGATTTGATGGCAATTCATATCAGCAACAGCAAAACTACAACGGAGGATTCGGTTCTAGTGCCAATTTGAACGATCGAAACAGCAACGAGCGTAACCGTCATGGAAACTGTGAGTGCTACAATCTTGATTAGAATTCAAAACTACTAAGTTTTTCTAAACTAGCCAATTCGACTTCCTCAATGACCTCTGCCATCAACTCATTGACTGGAAGTTCTAATAAAAAAGACGAGTATGGTCGAGGTGACAGCAATTCGGGTGACTACTCAAACAGGGGAGGCAGTGAATATTCAGGTACTCAAAACAACTACAAAAACAGCAGTGGCGGAAGCGGAATGGGCAACAGTTGTGGCAACAGTCGAGAGAATCGAAGCGGTGATCAAGATGAAGGCAACTACGGCAGTTCACGTCGAGGCAGCAACAGCAACAGCAAGTACGGCAGTGATGATAATGATAAGAATGACAAAAAGTTTATGGGCATCTTCTAATCGGTGTACTCAATCATGACTTTGTTATTGTTATGTATTCACTTCTGTTTAATCCTAGCACACAACACGGTAGATTATCTAAGTAAGAATGCCTAAATAATAAACACAATCAACGCAATTTTTGTAGTTAAGTACAGCAGTGTCCGGCCACGTGAACAGCAGGTGTTGGATTGATTTAGTTGTTTATGTTATGCCTTCTTTTGCAGGATGTACCTCTCTTGACCAGAGAGCCAGTAGAGTACCAAAAAACAGTGACAATTTTTAAGGCAGTCATCACCTACTGTTTGTAGAACTTGACGGTACAACTGCTCCTTGCTCTAATGGTGGTAATCCAAAAAGCTATTCTTACCTTTTAGAGGCCGTACTTCTAAGTTGATAAATTGGTTTGATCCTATTACGGCCGTGTTTTGTACCTGTGTTTTTTCGTACCTGGGTAAAATGGGCAAAATGTGTATGGCGGTGCGAAGTGTAGAGTTTTGGAAATCACTAAGTGATAGTACTGGTGGTGAACCTTTGACAACAGATTACAAAGATTACCGCACCAGTGCAGTGGGCAAACCAATACAGGTGACGGGTGATAGTGGAACCACTCAAGGCTAATCAGGTGAGTTGCAAATTATTAGTTGATGATTATCACGTGGATTTGGGATTGCTTTACTTTCTCACTTTTGGATAAGGTCGTCTATTGCTGAAATTGTTGTTGATGTTGATGATGATGATAATGTTATAGACAGGTGCACAAGCCCATCGGTACAGCAATTAAAAATAAGAATAATCAATGATAATGTTAGCCGCGCAAATTTTCAACCATCATCCCTTTTGGTATATAAGGTTTCTGGGTTGCAGGAGTTTGGATCACAGCTCAAACGGCAAAGCAACAAACAGCTTCTCCTGAAAGCAAAGTAACAGCAAATTAATTAACTCAAGCAAAAAATCAAGCCAAAAATGGCTCGTCTACTCTCGCTTTGCACACTTCTGGCTGCTGTAGCAGGTAAGAATGATAGAAAGCAGTCGGTGAAGAGCACCTCTAACGGCAACCACTATTCTCTAGCCATCTCCGCCAAGTCGGTCACCTACCCTGGCATCGGCACCTTCAACTCTCACGATTTCTATGACCCCATTCACCGTCCTTTCACCGATCTTTTCCTGCCCCAATCTCCCGAGCATATCTCTCCCGAGTTTGAGCTGTTCACCCGAGGCACCCGAGAGCTTGGTGAAATCATTCACTGGAACAACACCGAGAGCGCTCGAGCATCCCGCTTTGACGGCTCCAAGGAGACCAAAGGTAACTATTTCAACACTGTCAACCTATAAGAATCATTTTTAACGGTGATCACTGTTTCCCACCACCAACTTCTTTAGTCATTGTTCATGGTTTCATTGACAACCAGCTCTTTGCCGACTGGATGAAAATCCTCAAGAACCGCTACCTAGACTACCAAGACGTCAATGTGCTGCTCGTCTACTGGCCAAAGGGCAACTTCTTCCCCTACGGACAGGCGGTGGTCAACACTCGAGTGGTCGGTCCCATGGTTGCCATTCAGATTCAGACGTTCTGCAAGGCAAAGAGCACCACCCCTGCCTCCTTCCACATCATCGGCCACTCTCTGGGCGCCCACATCGCCGGCAATGCCGGAAAGTTCCTCGGCAACGCCGCTCTGGGCCGAATCACCGGTCTCGACCCTGCTGGCCCCTTCTACGAGGGCCTCCAGCCGGCCGCCCGACTGTGGCACACTGACGCCAAGTACGTCGACTCCATTCACACTGATGGTCGCCCCATGCTGGAGGTTGGCTTCGGAATGTACGAGACCTGCAGGTAAGAGAGCTTTTCACTTCACCTCAACACAAGCAAATACCTAACCTTTTTGGTGATATTCACTAGTCATGTCGATTTGTACCCGAACGGCGGCAAGGTGCAGCCAGGCTGCGACCAGGAGCGCCTCACTGCGGGCATCTTCCACGGGCCGTTTGAGGGCACCCGCCGACTGGTTGCCTGCAACCACCAGCGAGCTGTAGACTACTTCATCGACGCCCTCGACACCACCATCCCACTGCCCAAGGCCTACCTGTGCGACAGCTATGAGGATTTCAAGGCTGGCAAGTGCACTGACTGCGGTAACAATGGCGAGAAGTGCGTCATCCTCGGCCCCCGTGACATTGAGTACAAGAACTCTGTGAGCGACGTTAACCAGGGCGAGGACACCACCAATGGAAAGCGCTTCTTCATGGTCACTGGCCAGCACGAGCCACTTCTCAACAGTGAGTTTTCTTTCTTTTTGGAAAAGTGACGCGAGAAATAACACACGAAATTTCCCCTTCTCTAGAGTACCAGTACATCCTCCACCTGCACCTAGCTTCATCCGGTCTGGAGCAGTTTGACAAGGTGGCCGCAGTGCACATCAAGTTTGTCGACAACAACGGCAACGAGGAGACCTACATGTTCAACGACCAGGCGAAGCTGGAAGCCATCTTCAAGGTTGGCCAGTCGTACACTCACCCCGGTGTCATGTCGATGGACCCTGAGAACCTGAAGCGCATCGACTTTGAGTGGGACCACGGTATGCTCGACGATCTGGACGTCTTCCACCTCTTCCGCATGCACATCGACCAGATTGAGGTGCTCGGTCTGACGGAAAAGACATCGACCACCAAGAGCAAGCCGCTGAGCAAAAAGTTCTGCAACCACAGCAACGGCATCAAGAGCAAGACTCATGTCTCTTTTGAGCAGTGCTAGACTTTCTCATGCCTTCTTTTTTGACGACAAATATTACTTCTTGGTACCAAAAATTTAATGTATGCGCGCATGCACTAATTATCAGTTTTAAAAAATAAATTTTCTTCTATTGAAAAAGTATGTTTTCATAAGGCTATTTTTAAAATGTTTTCTTTTGGCTAATGAACGACTGCCACATGATTAATTAATTTCTTCTAACAAAAACATTGGATAGCTACAATTTAATCAACCTCCAAACGACATTCATCAATGAGCTGCACTTGATTACACATCTTTGATTAAAACAATTTCCAACTCTGTCTAAAAATGATTTTTCAACCAATGCAAGTGATACTTCTTCTGCTAACCTTTAACTGCCTTTTACCCTCTCCGGTACTAGGCAAATGTTGCTACCCTCACCGTCTGTTCAACTGTGGTAATGACGTCTGCAAGGACTCCCACACCGAAGTCTGCCCAGATGGCTCAGTGCCCATGGTCAGCGAGACTGGCCGAACGCCCAATTGCGCCCTGGAGGGTGCCAAGTGTGACAAGTATGCTTGCAACTGCTCCAGTGGATGCAAACTAATGAAAAAGCAAGATACCTTGAAATGGTACGTTTTAATATACTGCTTTTTAACTAATTTATGCTGAACAATTTCTCTTGAATTATTTAATGAGTTTTGTGAATGAGACATTTGATGACATTTGGCAGACACATAATTTAGAAAAACAAACTTTTTTGTAATTTTTTTTCTCAATAATTTTTAACTTTGTGTTTTTGTTATTCTAACAGTTGGTCGCAAAAGCGAGTTTGCTTCATGTATATTTAACAAGCTGCTGTTGTCGAGGCTGCACTTTCAGCCAACTATGAACAATTTGAATTTGCCCTTTTATCACACTTGAGCAGTTTTTGATAAACACTTTTGTAATGCTGATGACCTTTAGAAAGAGCTGCATGCTGATAAATTTTCACGTTAACTTCATCAAATAACTAAATTCAAGTTAACTTTAACCCCTTTTATCATCTTCTGAGCTTTCGCGGACATCCTCTAAGGTCAACCTTTACTTTTTGTAACAAAGTTTTAAAAGAGAAGCTGATTCACTAGCACCAGCGGATATCCTTTATTAAGCTTAAAAATTGTAAACTTTATCGGCAAATTCACTCAAATTGCACTCAAAGTATTGAGTGATTTGTATTTTACTATTTAAACAAAAAGTTTTAAAATAAACTTACAAGCATCAATGTTTCATCTTGAACTTAATCAAAGGAGGAATGGAGTTTAAGCTCACTGTAGTAATCGCAGTAGTGAATCTGTGCAATTTATTTACTGGAACAAACACAGAAGTGGTAATATTTGAAAACACAACGACGACAAATGAGCTAGTATCCGTATACAAAAATGTAACTAAAATGCAAACAAATGAGTTTACTGAAGTAGAAATTGTAAGTAAAACCAACCCGTTTTTGTTGAAATGCGACTTTTTTTTACAATTTTTCGTTTTGTTAGGACCATGCTTTCACTCACGAAGCACTACGGCAAAAACCGAAATCAAACTCTCGACGTCCCAAAACACTTTTTCAGTCACCTAAACTAGACTACACCATTTGGCCAAAACCCAGTTCGGTGTCCATGTCACACAAATTCATGCTCATCAATAGTGCTTCTTTTAAGATTATTCCCTCTTCAGACTGTTTGATCATCAATACTGCCATTGCCCGCTACCGAGAGAAGATGTTCCTTCAGGACTGCTCTCGTCTAGACTACAGTTTTCGCGGAAAGCACCTTTTCTACCAAAACCAGCCGCCACTTATTCGGAGAACAGCAGAAAATGTAGGCCAACTACGGGCACTTCACCTAAGTTGGAGTGGACAATGTGAAAGGAACCCGCAGATGAACATGAATGAGGCGTATCAAATTTCAGTTGATGCAGTGAAAGGAGCTGAAATTAAAGTAAGTTGTTCACTGTGCAACTGAAAGTTTAATTTTTGACTAACAATTGTTTTGTTGGTAGGCACTGTCGATTTGGGGAATTTTGCGTGGCTTAGAAACCTTTTCGCAGCTTCTTGAGAACGTTGCTTACAACGAGTACAAGGTGAATCTTGTTAGCATCAGCGACGCACCTCGTTTTGCCCATCGTCAGCTGATGATTGACACCTCACGGCACTTTCTTTCCGTTCGCTCAATACTGAAAACTTTGGACGCAATGGAGATGAACAAACTGAATGTCCTTCACTGGCATGTCGTCGACGATCAGAGCTTTCCTTTTGTCAGTGAGTCATATCCGCAGTTGGCACGCAATGGCAGCTGGTCGCCGATGCACATCTACACCGTACAGGACGTGGAAAAGGTACCATAAGTTTTGTGGAAGGTTTTGATTGTTCTTATCACCACTTTTTGTCTACCAGATCATCGACCACGCTCGTCTTCGAGGCATTCGCGTTCTCGCCGAGTTCGACACTCCCGGTCATACGCTTTCCTGGGGAAAGGGCATTCCGTCCTTACTTACACAATGCTTTGAGAACGGCAAACCAAATGGCCAACTAGGGCCGTTTGACCCGACAAAAAAGAGCACCTATGATTTTCTGCAAGTGTTTTACTCGGAGATCGCGCTTCGATTCCCCGATTTGTACATGCACATCGGCGGTGATGAAGTGAATACCCAGTGCTGGGCGTCGAATCCCAAGATTAAACAGTTCATGAAGCAGCATAACTTTAAAAAGGTAACAGTTTTTCTCCTGGTGCATATTAGAACAAGCTGACCAACGATGCCTTTACTAGATGAGTCAGCTTGAGGCGTACTACATTCAACGACTGGTGGACCTAGTAGGCGGCAAACTGAAACGCAGCTACATTGTCTGGCAGGACGTTTTTGACGAAGGCGTGCACATTGCCCCGGACACTCTGGTGCACGTGTGGATTGAGAAGCGAAACGGCGGCTGGCGGTGGAAGATGGACCAGGTGACAAAGGCGGGCTACCAGACGATCCTCTCCGCGCCCTGGTACCTCGAAACGGCGTACACCGAGGCTTGGCGAGAGTACTACGAAACGGACCTACTCGACTGGGACGGATCGGAGGAGCAGAAACGACGTGTCCTGGGCGGCGGTGCCTGCATGTGGGGCGAGTACGTCGATGGGGGCAATCTGATGAACAAGGTCTGGACGACGACGGCTGCAGTGGCCGAAAAGCTGTGGAGTCCTAAGGAGGCCACCAAAGAGGCGGCTAAGGCGGCGAGGCGCTTCCACGCGCAGCACTGTCGAATGCAGGTGACGGGAATACGCGTTGGCCCTCAGGACGGCCCTGGCCACTGTCCCTGTGATTTTGCAGTCTACTGATCACGTTGCAGTTTACGCAGTATGTTGTTTTCTGTCCTTGGTGTGTTCATTAAATGTTTAATGAGTATTCAAAATGTAAATGCAAAAATGCAAATTTTGAAAAAATGATAACCAGGCAGTGGCAGTGGCTACTCAGGTTTGAAGTAGTGCTCCTGGTGGGTGCCAGAAGAAGCGCTGGCAAGCACCAAGAGATGAGCAGACAATTGGGGAGTGTGCTCCTACTTCTGCGACTTGCTGGCGTCGCCCGGAGAAGAGGAGGCCGCCTTGCCTGACTTGCCACCGTCGGTGCCGCTGTTCGACTTCATGTTCACCGAGGTGATTATCTTCGAGGGGGCCGTCTTTGACAGCGCCTTGTTGGTGGCTGACGGTCCGCTCGACTTGGAGTCAGGCGACAGCTTCGAGCCGGTCTTTGAGGGCGGCTTGCCGTCAGAGGCCTTGGTGGTCGACTTGACGGCGTCCACCTTTGAGCCGGTTCCCTTAGCGGCCTCGCCGACCTTTGAACCAGTTTGCTTGGCCCCGTCGGCAATCTTTGAACTGGGCGGTTTGGCAGAGTCCACTTTGGAGCCAGTTGGCTTAGCGGCATCTACTTTGGAGCCGGTGGGCTTGGCGGCGTCCAACTTTGAGCCAGTAGGCTTGGCAGACTCCACTTTGGAACCGGTTTTTGAGCCGCCTGCCTTTGAGCCCACTTTAGACGACTTGGTGCTGGAGATCTTTGAGGTGACCTTGGGCGAGACGGCGCCAGCACCCTTCACCGCTGACTTCACTGCAGAGTCAACCTTTGAGCCGACCTTCGAGCCGGCCTTTGAATCAACCTTGGAGCCAGGTTTGGCTTCGCCCACCTTTGAGCCTGCCTTCCCGTCTACTTTGGAGCCAGTTTTGGCGTCCACCTTAGAGCTTGGCTTGGCGTCGCCCACTTTTGAGCCCGCTTTTGAGCCGGCCTTAGAGCCAATGGCGCTGCCTGGTTTGGAGGGGCCATCAACGATGCTGCTTCCACCCACCTTTGAAGTGATTTTACTGCCCGGGGTTGAGGGTCCCTCTACTCCAGAGGCAATCCTCGAGCCGCCATGCGAGGAAGCTCCAGAGACAATGTCAGAGAGGACGACACTGCCTGTCTTCGATCCAGAGGGCACGCTGAGAATGGCCGATCCGCCGTGGTGCGAACCGGCGCCGGAGATCTGCGAGCCAAAGTTGGAGTGGCGACTCGATGAGCCAGCACCCGAGTGGACGCTCGACAGTCGAGACCCGGTGGCCGAATCAGGGCCGTCCAGTTTGCTGCCCGCCCCGGAGCCGGCCCCGGCAGAGATGGTCGACTCGACGCCGCTGGTGCCGCCGCCGCCGCCGCCGGTGCTAAAGACCGAGGCGACGTTGCTGCTCGCCTTACTGCCCGCCTTTGAGCTGGCCTTGGATCCCACCTTGGAGCCCACTTTGCTGCTCAGCTTCTTGGTGCTCGGCACGGCCACGGGCGGCGGCTCGACGGGCGGCGCCGATGGCATGCAGGTCGCAGAGTTGTCGGCGGCAGGCGGCGCCGGTGGGGGCTGCTCCTCTGCAGGGGGCGCCTCCTCTTCGGGCGGCTTCTTGTCCTCAACGCCTGAAGCCTTCGACTTCACCTTGTCCTCGACAATGCTGGCCTGAGTCTCTGATTTAGGAGCATCGGCGCCCTCAGCAGGGTCATCAGTTGGAGCCACTTGCGGCGGAGAGTCATCGTGCTCTGGGTGAAATGAAAAGGTTAAAAAGTGCTGAGGATGATGATACAAACGTACTAGAATCACCGCAACCCATTTTTCTGCTGGGGCTGTTCTTGAGCGAGGGACGGTTCAAAAAGAGCAGACAAGAGAATGCAAAACAATGCTGAATATAAGCGCTAACAGTCAGCACAACTAAACAATCAAGTGTAAAACTTGAGTGCATTTGAGCTGCAATTTCTCTAAACTGACAAGGCATTGTTGACATCTCTATGCCGATTTCGAACAAAACACTAATGACCAGTCATACGGAAACATATTTTTGTCGCCTATAAAACGTACACAACTTCTCCTGATTGTGGTGATTGGTAACAGGCTTTCTAAAGGCATATCTAAAGATGATAAAAAATGAGGCAATTGAGGATTAGTATCAAAGCTGATGACGTTTACAGTCATTTGTTGCAAGGCCGAGTAAAGTTATTTTTAGAAAGAAAGTAAGAGAAGGTGTATTAGAAAAGATAAAGACACTTTTGGTTAAAAGCTTTTAAAACTAACTAGATCATTTAGTTTTTTGTTAGCAAATGATTCAGCAACAAAGTTTATGTTACAACTTTTATAGTAATTCTTGGATTTCAGTCATCATTAACATTGAAAAAGGTTTCCAGTTTTTAGTAAATCACCCTATCAAGGTAGTTTGAAGGCCATGCAAATATCTGTCCTGCTTACTCAACTGCACTATCTCATTTATAACTAATCACAAAAGGTGATGAGACAAAGTGACTCACCAAGTGACTGGAATGCTACTTCTTCTAAGTCATCCTACTACAACTCCTAAAAACCAAAATATTTAGTAAACTTTATCAATTACTGACAATGCAAACACGAGCAGATACTTATCTGTGTCATTGGAGTATAAAAAAAGACCAGCTGCTCTTCATCGGTTACCTTTAGAACACTCTCATCAAAACAAATCAGTCATTTTTTAGCAAAATGGCCTCCTTCAGCTTTACAGATTTTCTTCGTTTCTGCAGATTGCTTTCGGTGGAGCCGCTAGGCTTTCTCGCCATGTTCATCTTTCTTTTCAAAAAGAATCCCATTGACCAGTTGATCCAGGATAAGCTTTGTCTGCAGAAATATCTTCTCCCAGCCAACTACTGCCATGCACTTCCCACCATGAAGAACGAAGATGACTACCTGTCGATGAAATCGACCGTTCTTGGTAATGTTACTCAGTTCAACATGTACATCTACATTTCGGTTGCAGTGCCTATCTTTGTGATTTCACTGCTGATCGGGCCATTTATCGACAAGTACAAGCCTGCAAAGAAGTTTCTATTTCTCTACAGTAGTGCCATCTTTGCTATCGAGTCAAGCCTTTTTCTCATCAACTCAATTTGGTTTGATATGAGTAAGTGAGATTGAAAAAAAACACTATTTAAAAACTAACATTTTAATAATGCAACTTAATTTGCAAGGTTACTGGTTCATCTTAGCTTGTCAAATTGTAATGTCTTTCTCTGCCGGTCCGCTGGTTGCCGTCACCTGCTGTTGGTCGTACGTGTCATTGGTTACGCCGGAACACACGCGATCTATTCGAATGATCATTCTAGAACTGTGCACCTCTGCTGCTTCAATATTCGCCACTGCCGCCGGCGGTAATCTTCTTGATTTAACGCCAATATTTCCTTCTCGTGATCCTCGAAATTACATTGCCATCTTCAGCATTTCTATTGCCTGTTCTCTCCTCTTTCTCATCATCGCTCTTTTTACAGTAGACGCCGAAAAAGACAAAGCACTTTTTGATCTTTGGTTTCCAAAGAAATTTACTGAAACTTTGCCTCTAAAAACGACATATTTTTCTTCCAAAGAAAAACAAAAAACCTTACTAGTAAATGAGACTGCTGTTGAAAGCCGATCTCCAATAAAAATATTTCTCGATCTTACAAACATCAAGGAAATGTTTCAAACTTTCACCAAGGCACGTCCTCACAACATTCGTATGCAAATAGTTCTCCTGTTAATAAGCAAAACAATCAGTCAATTAGCTTCCTGGGGACCGACAACCTTCATGTTCCAGTTTGTACAAAAGGTGTATTCCTGGAATTCCAGTCAGTACAGCAACTATCTCACCGGTAGCTACCTAATTAACATCATCACCACTTTCATCTTTGCACCTGTGATTATTAATGTAGGTAGTTCTGTCAATATCTGAAGCAGTTTTATTTCAACTTTGTTTTTGTAGATTTTCAAAATCGGTGATCTCAACTATGCACTTCTGGGCTCTTCGATGATTTTAATTCAAAATGCCATTCGTCTGGCGACACCGTCGCTGAGCGCATTTTGGGTGAGCATCGCTTTCAATGCCATCAACTCAATGGGCATGGTGGGCGTCCAAGCGTACATTACCAAGGTGACCGACGGCAAAGAAGTGGGTCGCATTTTCAGTCTGATGACGGTGCTCGACTCTACTATTCCCATCATCAGCTCGGTGGTCTTCTCGCAGATATTTCAGAAAACCATCGATACGATGCCCAACCTGAGTTTCCTTCCAGTGGTCATTGGTCTACTGATGGGCATTTCCTTTAACTTTATTGTCGCACTAAAAGGGAAGAAGACACTTCAAAAGGTGGAAGAAGACAGAGCTGTTCTTGAGGAAACTTAAATTGCATAATAAAGTTATAAAGGTGTTTGCACTAATGTAACTGAAACCTTGTAAAATTAAAATTAGTCTGTTTTTAATGAGTGTGACTATCTTTTTTGCAGCAAAATGGCAACAATCAAGTGCCACTTCCCTTGACATTTGTTGATAAAACCACTGCCGCTCATTTCACGCCCTTCGCAACACACTTGTCCCTTTTACAGTGCACTTTCCAGCATTAGCTAATGCACTAATCTGCACTACTCTGTAAACATGACTAAACACGCATTTTTACAGCACTTGCAAAAAAGCATTCATTTAAGAAACACTAGCATGTGCTGCAATAAAAACAGAAAGTACAAAATCATAGAAACGGGCTCCAAGTTTGTCAGTAGTTCCGCAGTATGGCAAGAAAGGTTGCTGCCGTAACCTGGGAGCAGCCTGAAAGCGATGCTGCAGATGACAACCAGGTCGTGCAACTGCTCTCAACTGCAGCATATATTATGAAGTCTCTTTTGCTTCTACAATGAAAACACTGTACAGCTGCAAATCATGACCACCATCAAACGCTCTCAGATTCTCCGTTTTGTCTGTTTGCTCTCCGCGGAGCCACTTGGTTTTCTGACGCTTTTCGTCTTTCTCTTCAAGAAGAATGCGATCGATCAAATGTTGCAGGATAAAATATGTTTGCAGCGATACAAACTACCACCGGGATACTGTCTGAAACTGCCGACAATGACACAGTACGAGGACACTTTTCAGATGAAATCCACCATTCTCGGGGATGTGACCTCCTTTCAAATGTACATCAACATCGGCCTGGCGTTGCCCAATCTGGCGCTATCACTGCTCGTCGGGCCGTTTATCGACAAGTACCGGCCAGCAAAGAAGGTGCTGCTCATCTACTGCTCAGTGATTTTTGCAATTGAAAATGTAAGCTACCTGGTGAACTCGTTTTGGTTTAGAATGGGTGAGTGAGAATGCCGAGTTGTACTAATAATCACAATCTACTGTAGACTACCGTTGGTTGATACTGAGCTCGGTGATCATGGCGCTCACTGCCGGCCCAATGATCGGCATGACCTGCTCGTGGTCGTATCTCTCTGCAGTGACGCCCGGCCACCTTCGCTCTACCAGACTGATAATTATGGAAGTGGCCATTTCTATGGGTACGACTTGAATGTTTTCCAATTCAGTTTTTATAATATTGCTGTTGTTACTTGCAGCTCCGCCACTTGCCATAGCGCTGGGCGGAAATCTTCTCGATCTGAATCCTCTGCTGCCTGACCACGAGCCCAGAAACTACAGTACTGTTTTTCTTCTTTCGATTCTTGCCAGCCTCATTTACCTTTTGGCAGCAATTTTCCTTTTAAATGAAGAAAAGGACAGAGCACTTTTTGAGGAACATTTTCCCAAAGAGGAACATCACAGAGAAAGCTTCAAAATGCCGCAAAACAAAGCAGATATTTCCGATAATGAGGAAGATGGGCAAACGCAGTCAGCTTGGAGGATTTTTTGTGATTTACGGAACGTCAAAGAGATGATAAACACCTTCACAAAAGAGCGTCCCTTTGGCATACGTACTCAGCTCATTCTGCTTCTAATCAGCAAAGTCATCTGCCAGTTTGCGACCTACGGCCCACACATTGTTTTGTATCAGTACGTCCAGCGAGTCTTCAGCTGGAACGTCAGTCAGTACAGCAACTACATTAGCTTCAGTAATCTCATCAACATTGTCAGCACCTTTGCCCTTGGCCCGGTGATCATTCATGTAAGTGGAATTAATTTAATCGTATTAGGTTAACTAACTTTTTGCACTAATTTTTAGGTTTTTAAAGTTGCCGATCTCAACTACGCCCTACTCGGTTCGGGTATGCTTTTGATGCAAAACTTTCTTCGCCTCCTCAGCACCGCCGTGTGGACCTTTTACGCCGGTCTGCCCTTTTACCTCTTGAACTCCCTCTCCACAGTGGGAATTCAGGCGTACATTACTAAGATCACCGAGCGCTCTGAAGTGGGGCGAGTTTTTAGTCTGATGGGCGTTCTTGATGCCCTCATTCCACTGTTCTCCTCACTCATCTTTGCCAGCATTTTCAAGCTGACAATTGACACTCAACCTAATCTGTGCTTTCTGGCTGTCGTTCTTGGCCTGATTGGCGGCATGACACTCAATGGACTGGTTGCTTGGAAAAGCAAGGCCACTCTTGAGGCAGTAGAAGGAATGAAAGGAAGGGCAAAGGAGGAAAGTGATGAGCTAGAGCGAATTAACAGTGCTCAACAACGTGAAGATGAGGCTGATGAAAGGCTGTAAAATAAGTTTTTTTAAATAAACAAAGTTTTAACAAACTGATTGACCGTTCGAAAAACAAAACAATGTTTTTTAAATTGCATTTAGTGCAGCTTTTTAGTGAAACTCTGCAAAGTATTTTGAGTGTTTCGTTTGCGTATCGTCATCGTTA